CAGTGGAATCTCCATCTCCCCGATGGGCCTGTTGTTGAGAGTGTGTAGTACATCTGTGAGATGAGTTCTCTGCCTGGACAGGTTTCCATCTCAAGCTTTCGTAACTGCTCCTCAATAGCCCATTCATCCATACAGTCAATCCTGCATCCTCAGTCCTGGGGTGAAGGTCCAATGTAGTCCATCTGCCAGATTTGTCCTGGTAATTTCCCTCTCCACAGTTCTCCTTTAGTTGTGATGTTGCATTATTTCCTTAAGTTCTTTCCCAGGATCCAGGCCAGAATGGAGCTGCCAATCGTCTTTCTCCCCGGAACAGCTGATCCATCCACCGGGAGCTTTCCGGGGGCAAATGTGGAGTCCTCTTGAGTTTCCAGAGGAGGTGCCAAAGACTGAACTGCTTCTGAGTTGTTCATCTTATACCTCCACACTTTTCTGCGGGGTTGATGTAACTCCCTCTGCTTGTATAATCTCTGTTCTTCTGTTTCAGCACCATGCTGCAGGGTACTCCATCCTTTAACAAAGCCACAAACATCTCCCCTCGAGAGATTCTGTGTTAGCTGGTCCTACAGCATCAGGGTGCTGCGGGGTACTCCATCCTTTAACAAAGCCACAAACATCTCCCCTCGAGAGATTCTGTGTTGGCTGGTCCTACAGCATCAGGTTTCTCAATCTTGATTCTCCCAGGGGTCCCACTGACGTCGGGTGTTTTGATTTCTTTCAGTCTCTCGGGGGCCCCATTGTCCAAGATTCCACCGCTGTATTTTATCAATTACTTCTCTGATGGACTTACATGTCTTGTTAAGTAAAAATGTCATCAATAGAAGTTTATAGGCTGGTAGAGCCTATGTTATTTCTTATAGAAAGAGTGACTGCAAATTGCATTAAGACATCAGCTCAGCCAGCAAAGATAGCTAATTTCATCCCTTCTTCTTTCATGTGTTGAATTCCGTCTCGCAGCTTGTACCACGGGCAGTGAGATCCTGGCCCGGCCTTCTCCATCACGTATTTATTTCTACATCCCACAGTGGCCAAGACCAACCAATTAGTCATTTGATTGTTGTTTCGAAATGCATCTTGCACAAAAGAATCGGAACTCAGCATTACAAACTTCCTGGAGTCACCCTCCTCAAGAATAACCCCTGATGCTCCCTGATCATATAGGTGCACAATCCACAAGAGTAGGGGCTCTCCTGGCCATTGTTTAAATCACTTGATGTGTTTACCTCTTGGTGTATAGTCTTCTAATGCATCCTTTCTCAGCTGCAGCCTATTGACATCCAGTTCTGCCCTTTGCCTATACACTGCTCTTCCATTATGAGACTCGCTTGAGGAGTCATCCTCATCAGAGTCTGCCCAGTACCACACATCATCATTATCATCCTCTTGTACCACAAATGAGTGAACTTTTCTCGAAGTAGCTTGCCCCCTCTTATGATTATGGTGGGCAACTCTCACTACAGTTTTCTTAAGAGACGTCTGGGGAATAGCCAGCTAGGGACTTATTCAGGCACTGTAATGTTGGGATCTGACTCCATAAATCATTGAGCTGCTGCTCCATATGGGAGTGCTGTGATACCAATTGTTCCTTTAACTGGTGCTGTTTCTTATACACAGTCAGCAATATCCATCCCCATCTAACAACATTCTCACCTTTTTCATGGGATAATTCTTGGAAAATACGTAGTATGTCATGGGCTTTGGCATCTCCTACCTGACCCTCCCATTGCTCAAGTGGTCCAGCAAACTTGGCCCATTCAAGGGCTAACAAACAGTTTGGAGGGTTTCTTCAATCAGGGGTTTCAGATGGGGCTGTCCATGACGCCAGCTTTCTTATCCTGACCCCTTGCCCAACATAAAATGGTATTTATCATTAACGGGCAGGGCAGCAGCTGAACTCCCTTCACTACCACATCACACACCAGAGATCCAAAGTGCTGGACAACCAGAGGGAAGAACAAGTCAACACACTCACTCACTACAAAGGATGTGAAGAAGGGAGCAAGCTGGTCAAGGAACCACATTATGGGAGATGGAATCAGCCAGACGATGAATCCAATTATGTAGTAGTTTCCCAGATAGAAATTCGTGATCTTGTTCTGCCATCCTCAGAACTCCACTTGCTATGAAGAGTCAGAGAGCCCTTTCAACAGCCAGAACCCCACACAGCTCATGCACTGCATAGGCAGGGCTCCCAATTCCACTGTAAGCAGAGTCAGTTCTTATAGACTTGGCTTCTTGCTATTTTATTTTGCTCCACTTAATACCTCATTCAGTAAATAATGTATGGATAGAACAGCATAGTCAAGCAGTAATTCTTGGAATTTAAATTACATTTTGGAAATGCATCAGTTGTGCAAAATGCCACAAACTGTTAAAGCCATCAAGTTCAGGAACATGAAAACTCTGCAAATTTGAAATGATGAACTGAAGTGCAAGCTGAAGGAAATACCATATGACTGCAGGATGTGTACTTACATACTGCTTCAAATCCAGCTTTGGTTCTCGGAGCCACCTATGCTAACATACTGCCCAATGTTCTTAGCAGTGTTGTTAATTTGCCATTGTTACACAGAGTTAAAAAAGAGAAGTTGTGTTGTAGCAGCTTTATGAAGTAAACTGTTTAAGCTAATAGTGCGGTATCAGCATATAAATACTTCAGAAGCAGTAAATGAAGATGGCTTAAGACAAGCTGCCAGAAACTTCAGGTGTTTCTTGGGGGAGAGAAGTTGCCTGAGGCACAAAGGTGTCAAGTTCATTCCACTGATACTTATGTCATCTTTTTTGTCAACTTGCTGATGTAACCTGGTTTATATTGAAGGTAATTGAAGTTTGACAAAGTGCTCTTACAGGATACAGCAATTCTACTGGTAGCGAGAAGAAAAGGAGGAGTAGCTTTTAGAGTTTTAAGTCATGGTTTGAAAGGTTCAGATTCAGTGGCTTGGCCAGTCATTTAAAGGTTCTGTGCTCTAAACCCTTTGCAAAATGCAGGTAGATTTCTCCTGAGAGCTCTGCTGGTTAGCAAAAGAGACTTAGCTGTAGCTTTGCATACTTATCTGCAAATAAATTTCATCCAGCTTCATTAAGGTGCACCAAATGGTAGGAAGAAGTGCTCCAGATTATTTACATCAAATAAATTTAGAGTCTGTGATACTGCAACTCAGTATTTTTTCTTAAAGCAGTACAGAATCTGTGGAGGAGGAAATGGGATTACCATGAAACATGGAGATTCCTGAAGGTTTACCCAAGCAAGCATGGCATGGTATTGAAGGTAGCTTGGACTGCAGTGTTTTGACAAATTTTGCTTTTGAGAGTTCAGGGACAGAGCTTGTGGTTCTAGTTATGTCATAAAAGTGGAGGACATGTCAGTCTTTTGGGAGGAGTATCTTTATTAAATACCACTGTTTAGTGACATAGGACAGCCTAACACAGATTTAATATGTGTATATGAGTCCTAATTCAGTTGTTAAAATTGCATTGGATTCTAGTTTCTATTTGTTATAGTTATCTGATGGAGACTTTTCTTTTTTTTAATCTCAGTTGGTGGTGCTGTACCATTGCTTTCTAAAGAATCTGCTACAGCCCCAAAAAGTCACCGGTTAAACCAAGGAAAGATGCCTCACAACCCTTTGGATTCCAGTGCTCCTTTGGTAAAGAAAGGGAAACAGAGAGAAGTCCCTAAGGCAAAGAGACCCACGCCTCTTAAGAAGGTGCGCATATTTTTACTTTAAATAGTACAGTATAGGTTATTGTAACTTCATTATTACTCTGTAAGTCTGTTAAACCTTCTGGTATGGAGATCTGCATCTCAGCATCCACTTGCCTAAATTCAATTTTAGCTTTTCTTGGATTAAAAAAGAAGGGGAATTGGGAAAGTAGAGGAGAGTCTACAGTATAAACGAAATACCCTGAATTAAATCACTTAACAGCTGAACAAATGTTATGTTTTAGGCAAAATAGGCTTTTTTGCAGGACTGGGCAGAATGGATCACACAAAAGTAGTACTTGGTGTTTCTGAGCTCTTCCAAGCCAGAACTTCAGCTGATTCTGCAGCAGCTAATGTGAGACCCACCTGGTGATTTCTCTGTTATCTTCACTTTTTGCCCATTCATGTTACTTCTTGTCATGTCTTCCATACAGAGGATTTTGAGATAGATAGCACTCCACTGCTAGGTCACTTTTTGGTCTTGTGAAGGTGGGTAGTGTAGTGGTCATTCTGTGCTGATTAATTGTATTTGAAAATTGTCACCATAAACAACATATAACATTGAACAAACTCTGGGGGGTGACTATATATACTGTATTTTCTGGCTGCTGTATCTTCATATCATGAAAAGATATAGACAAAGACTGCTTTGTCAGTGTAATATCTGTGCTCTGAGTATGCTAGGAAGCTCATTTTTGTTCGTGGTTCATCTCTGACAAATGCAAATGGAGAAATTAACTTCTGTGATTAGATTCTGTGATATAGTTAGTTTTAGGTAGATTAGCTGGGCTAGTGTTCATATATACCATAACTTCTCTTTAGCAGCTATGAAAGAAGAGAAGGAAGATAAATTTCAGGAAACTGATTATTGCTTTCACCTATGGTAGCATGCTTGGATTCACCATATGTGCTACTTTCCATCCTTCTGTGTACCATATGGTTTAGCTATCTATGGTAATTTCTTCTCTCAAGATTTTTAAGAGGAGAATAAGGGGGAAGAGTAACTGTGTGTATGTCTCCATACAGAGACAGATATGTCCTTTTCTATGTAAATTCAGGGAATATCTTTCCTTCTTTTTCTGTGCAAATTAAAAATCCCCCGATGTTGTAAAAATTGAATGATAGTGCCAAACTTAATGAATATTCTGTATGTAAACAGTTTGTAAGAGAAACTGCTTTATTATCTGTGTGATATTAAATTGACTTGGGTTTTTTATATATCTATTTTAGATTATTCTCAAAGAAAGAGAACAACGAAAACAACACCACCTGTTAGAACAGACAGCAGTACCAAATAATGAAGGTAACATTGCTCAGTCTGCAAAGAATACTGCTGAAGATGAAACACTTCTACAGGATACTCAAGCAGGTATCTTTCAAGAGAAGGCTGTAATACAGTATGTAGATGGAGGTTTGAGACAGGGCACACCTGGTGCTTTAAAAAATGTGTACTAAATACTGCCAAATAAAAACTGTAACTTCAGAATTTCTAAGATCAGCATAGGCTTATCTAGAGCTTAAAGTGTGCCAAAGCTGATAGTCAGTGTAGTTGAGTAATTTGGATTCTGATTGCTGTTCCACACTTTTATGCCTGTTGGATTTATTTATTATATGCCATAATGTGAGCCTCTGCATCTGTCTGGCAGCCTGTTTAAAAAGAGGTACAATAATGAAAACTAAGACCTAAAACCATGTATGATGTGTTGCCCTACTGCCACAGGCTGTTTCAGTACTGAAGAAATGACTCGTCAAGAGATACTTGGCAAGTTGGTCTCTTCACAGTGGTTTTTGTTATGTCTTTTCATTGAAAAATCTTTATTTACATGATTGCTGTTGCTGTAACACAAGTTGCTGAAGGGTTTCTGGAGAATACAAGGACCATGACAAGGACTACAGAACATTCTGTGAGGCTAACTTCCAATCCTCCGAAAATCCACAGTAGGAATTTTAGAGAGTAAGTATTGATTGTACTGATGGGTGTTTCCCTATGGTACTACCTGTATGGCATTTCTCAAACAAGATACTTCACTTGCATTCTGTGCAATACTACATAGGAGTTAAGACTGAAGGTTTTAATTTTTTATTCTTTTTTTTCTATAAGCTGACACACAGAGAAATGATATCCAGAGAAATAGTCTGTACATTGTTGTAATTCTCACTTGAAAAAGCATGTTCTTTGAAGGAAAAGAAAAATCAGAAATTCATTAGAAGTTGGGGAGGAAAAGGAGCTGCTGTTAAAGTACCTTACTTAAAATAAATGGAGTACTGGCTTCATATTTAAGGAGACTAGCACAGCTTACTTATTTTCAGTTATACTTTGGTTTTCTGTTGTCAGACCAGATCACAAAAACGTAAAGAATGTGACTAGTCAGATGACTTTTTCATGTTGTGGCTCACCAGAGAACTAAAGGGAAGATTTATGGGTAATTATGTGCAAACACTTCTTGTTTTGTTTACATGGATGTGTATACGTTTTTCCTTATACAAGAAGAAATAATCATTACTCTATGTTAAAAGGTCAGAGATATGGTCAGTTTAAAACAGTTACTTTGGGTAAGCAGTGTTTTAGCTTTTGGGTTTCCTTCCATAAAGGCACTACTGGCCTTACTGCAGTTCATGTTATAGTAACAGTTAATATTCATATGGCAATTCTTTATCTTTCTGATGCTATCTCTTAGCTCTAATTTAACTTTTAATTGCAATAAAAAACATTTAATGCATGTCTGTGTAACACGGTTTTAGTAAAAGAGCAGTTTGGGTTGAATATGTAAAGAACAACTCAGTCCTACCTATCATAGGATGGAGAGCATTCAACAAAACTGAGAGTATTTTGTGTCTTTATAGTAGATTTTCAGTGTTTTAATAGACTTGTCACTGAGACTTAGTGAAGTCAACTGGAAATAGTAAATAAAAACTCTTGTAACTGAAAAAAGATTTGAAGTTAATTGTATCTCTAAGATATAATGCAACTTGGCATCTTCCTATTGACTGTGCAGTTGAGCATCTTTAGTCTTGAGACCCTTCTTTACTGAATGATTCTTTGTGTAAAAGATGAGGGGAAAAAATAACTGGGAACCTTGATCTTTCCCAGTGAATACTAGAAGGATGAAGTACATCTGCTGTTATCCTCTCCTTGTTAACGCCACAAGCCTGTTTTAAGTGAAATATGATGACAAACAAAAAATATGAGCCTGGGGAGGACGAAATTGATCCAGATTTCCATCTTTGTTATAAGTAGCCTTGTATTTATAGAAATAAATAATTTTATGCTGTGGTTGCTCTGCTTTGATCTCCGTAAGTCAAAATAAATATCCTCAGAAAAATGCTTCAATAGGAAAACATACATATATATTTATTGGTATAAAAAAATATATAGCCTTATTGTACATACATGTATGTATTTTTAGTATAGTTTGATAGGAAAGCCAGGTACCGCAATTTACTAAATTTTCCATATGTTCTCAGCCACTGAAAAAAATCGTAAGTTTTTGTTTTTGTGTATGTAATGAGTGTGTTTGGACTGGAAATAGAAAAAAAAGTCAAAGACATACATAGAATGGAACAGAAGGTAAACGGTTTATATTTTACTTATTACATATTTATAGCTCTAAGGGTTTTAACATTTAATTGATTCTTTCTTTCAGTTATTGCAGCCAGGTACTTAGTAAAGAGGTTGACCATTGTGTGACAGATCTCTTGAAAGAACTGGTTCGTTTCCAAGATCGCTTGTATCAGAAAGACCCAGTAAAGGCTAAGATAAAACGCAGACTTGTTATGGGTCTTAGAGAAGTTCTGAAATATCTGAAGCTGAAAAAACTGAAGTGTGTAATCATCTCTCCCAACTGTGAAAAGATTCAGTCAAAGGGTAAATAATTTTTTTATATGTTTGTTTGATAAAAGAAATGCAAAAAGCAGACTCGGTATGCTGGCAGCAGGATTACTACTGGAGGAACTTATTTGAGTAGCCTTTGAAATCCTGTAATATAAATATGCTTTTATAAAGACACCTTCCATCCTCAGGTTGTTTACTGCTCTGCAGCTGAAGAGTGAGCTGAGCAAAGACTGTATGGAGTGGGAGAAGTTACCTGAAACTGGGATCTGTTTGGTTATGGACTTTCTGTGCAGCTGCATAAGTGTTACCACTGGTGCAGCTGAGAAGAGACAAAGGTTGCTGGTGCCAGCTCTGCCACCTCAAGAAGTCCTGCTATATCTGTCTCTTTTAGGCTGCAGAGTGACAAGAAGGTGTCAGTGGTAGTTTGTTTAAAATTAATTATAATTATCGTCATTAGTTTCTGTTAACTTTTAAATAATTTCTTAGCAGGTGGGTCTTTTTTTGGTATTAAATTAGACTATGCTACATATTTAACAAACTACCGAGTAGTAACAGTCCAAGGATACTGCTAATGAAGAATTCAGAAAAAATGTCAAATTCTCCTTATGAATGGAGATCTAACGCTATTATTGAGATCCATGTATTTTTTTCCCAAAAACTCCTGTAATTTCAAAACACATCCATAATCTTGGGATATTTTTTGCCATCTTTGAACAGTAGTGTCCATTAGTTATAATCATCTTGGATAGTGTCATTCTTTGCTAATTCTATTGTTTGCTCCAGGTGGGTTGGATGACACTCTGCACAACATTATCGACTGTGCCTGTGAGCAGAATATCCCGTTTGTTTTTGCTCTTAATCGGAAGGCCCTAGGCCGCTGTGTGAACAAAGCAGTGCCTGTGAGTGTGGTGGGAGTTTTTAGCTATGATGGGGCTCAGGTAAGCTGAAATATGCAGGTTTCATGGTTTTGTTTAGCTTTACTTTTTGCTAGTAAAGGGGAAAAAAAATACTCGACTTTAAGGTTTTGTATGTTTGTTTTGCTTTTGCACATTTACGCTTTTTATCCTAAGTCAGTGGCATGTTTGAAAAATTTGTTTTAGAAGTACAGCCACTCAGCACTGTTCAGAAAAGTAGTTGGGCCGTCTCTTCCTGATATCCTCTCCATTTAGATCTCTTTGCAAAGTCTTTTGTTTTTTGGTGTTTTGGGTTGTTTTTGTTTTTTTAAAAGAGTTGATGCTTTCATAAATGTTTTTTTCTAATGTCTTTACATGTGGTTTGTTTTTCATGTATTTATACATATTTAGCTGCACAACTTTCTTATGTGAAGATATATGTTCTGAATAAGTAATACTCATTACAGATTTTCATTGAGATGTTAAAACTTACCATGTGATTTAAGCTCTACTAATATTTTATATTTCCGCAGGACCATTTTCACAGAATGGTACAGCTGACAACAGAGGCCAGGAAGGCCTACAAAGATATGATAGAAGATTTAGAGCAAAAAGCTGAAGTAGGACTAAAAGAAACCCAACCCAGCATCTTAACCACTGGATGTGAAACTGATAAAACAACATCCAAGGACTCTGATGAGGATACACCAAATTATGGTGAGTATTTACTGACTTGTTTCTGGTTCCATTTCAAATCATTCTTCAATTCTACAGTTTTCACTGAAACAAATGACACCTGACACTTCAGTGGTTAGTAAGAGGGGAAATTCTGCTTTTCTGTGATTTTTTCCCCCCACCCCTCTTAGTTTATAAACCTGAGGTCAGCTCTTGCTAAGAATTTCTTTGAGAAAATTCCTCTCTGAAGCCCACTGATGGCAGATGGTACTCATTGCTTTGTCCAAGGAAGTTCAACAGAGCTCCTCATTTATTATTGCTGTTTGTTAACAAAGTCCTCCAAGTTTTTTTCTAGAAGTGCATACTCTCAATATGGTGGATTTAAGTTTTGTATTGAAGCCTGTTTGAGATGCATCTTGATGTCCAAAAGTGTGTGTTTTGTAAAGGCCTTGAAACTTCTAGAAACTTGTTTCTCCAACTCTGTGCCGGACAACAAAAGTTATGACAGAACTTAAAACTGCCAAATTAAATTCTTTAAATTTGGCAATTTAAAACTTCTTTGAAAATTTTGAAAACTTCTGAGTTGTTTTTAAAGTGGGATCTGCCTTCAGAGTTAGACTTGCTTGATCAGCGGGCTGCGCACAAGGACCTCAATGGATCCTGTCAGCCCTAAAGTATTATTTCATGCATCATCTGATGTCACGTGGTGTACTTGTCAACACGCCCATGTGCCAACCTATCTCGGCATTTATTTTGAGGAGGAAGTTAGAGAATCACTGTGACTTTTCATTTTCAAGTACTATACAATAAATTGTTTTCTCTCTTTTTTTTTTTTTTTTTTATTCTAATATTTCCTAGTTAAAATCTGGAAGAGAAAACTTGAAGAGTATAACCCATATGCACTGGAACTGGAAAAAAGTGCAACTGCTGACATGGTGGTAGTGAATTCGGAAGAGCATCAGTAAATCTAGGTCCATTGCAGGGACGTTGGATTAGATGATCTCTAGGGTCCCTTCCAACCTAAGCCATTCTATGATTTTATAATGATTCAGTTCTACTGGGCTGGATTTTTTTTCTCTTTTTCAGACCTGTAGAGAGAGGGTACCAAAATAACATGATGTAAGAAATTTCTGAAATCAGCTAAACTGTTCTGAGTCTCCTTTAAGCACAGAAGCACATGGGGCACTGGCTGATGCTTTTTGTTCTGTGTATTGGTCCGATTACTACAGTAGATGACAACAGCAAATTTTCTTGGCTCCAAACCATTTGAAATGGCTTGGCATACTTTAATGTTTTAAGGACTGTCACCGATGTCCTAGTGATACAATACAGCAAAAGAACTTGCTAGAAAGATCATTTTATTTGGGAGGTGATTCTGTGAGCCAGAAGACTGGGACTTGCAGGGAAATTGCATTTTATTTTTAATTCGATTGCAACTAATTAAGGAAGGCCATCATGACAAAGTTCCCATTTAGCTCTCCTGTGTGGTATGTTATTCTTTTGTGCTCATACAGTAGTAATCATAAGGATCATGATATCCTGTAAAGGAGAGAACATTGACTACAGTGTTCTGACATTCCTGAAGTGCTGAAATGCTGACGTCTGAAAACAATATTCCTGAAAATTCTCTGTTCAGCCATTTTTTGAAAGCTGATTAGGTGTACAATGATGATGTTTCTGATGCTGCTGAGACTAGTTTATCATAGGTCCTGCTTTGAAGTTAGGATAGTGGGCTGACACATTTACTATCCTTCAAGCCTTCTATCTGTAAGTTTTCCATGCCAACAGACCTCTCATTCCTTCAGTTTGGGGTTGTGTCAGTATATACATGTTTTTGGTTTTGATCCATCTCAGTTTTTAATCTAAAGTAGGGAAAATTTATATCTTACAGGAAATTAAATTTTTATCTTACATTAAAAGAAATTAAAAAAAAAAGTGCTCATAATGGTGGTGGAGCCCCTTAGTGAGAATGTGCTATGTAAATACCAGTGTTTACAAGTTGCTGACATGAGGAGACAAGTCTACAGCAGGTAATTGGAGGATGCACTTACTACTTTTGTGAGCTGTCCTGAAAGGCATATCCTGCTGCCAGCATTGATGAAGTGTGTCTGTATGTGCTTCGCTGCACTGGACATGTGTAGTGCAATTCTTTAGAAAGTAGCTGCCTTGTGAATTTAAAAGTGATACAAGAACTTTAAATAACTTTGAATTTCAAACAACTTTGTAGAATGTAAATTCTGTAAAATCTTCTATAAAATCTGTTAACAATATATTGATTCTATGAAGTATGGTTGTGACTTGAACTCTTCTGTTGGACATTTAATGGTAGTTGAAATGTCACCTTTGAGGAAGCACATTGGTAAGGGATGCCAGCTTTAAGCTGAGATGCACGGTTGGTAACTAATGACGATGATGATGTTTTTGTATTAGTTTCTTCGAATCTTAAATGGAAATTGAGGGTGAAAGATCACAGAAATGAAAGATGGGTTTGGCCAGCAGATGTCCTTGATCCAGGGGTACATTGTGATTTATTCACATTTGTGCCACACCCATACACATCTAAAACTCTGAAACTGCTAAACCTAGTCACTGCATGGAATGAGGACTAGTTGGTGAAGATCACATTAAAGGCCTGGATTGTTGTTGGTTTTTTTCCACAATATTTTCTATTTTGTCTTACTGAGAAGAACATGAAGTTACTTTGGAAACATTATAAGTTACCAAAAACTTAGGGAGTTGTTTCCTATTCTTAGAATGTAGCAAAATTCACTAGAAGGGGTCACAGTTCTGTTCACTAATTGTGTTACACAGATGTTTTTTCACAAAGTTGAACTACACAAAAAAACTGAGTTATATTTTTTTATTATTACTTGCAGTGCCTCACTGCAGAGATAAGGCAAAGCTCCTCTAAAACTCTGACCTCAATCTTAAAGCATTACCTTCCCACTCAACACCACATCTACTGAATAATAGAGGAGGGACAATTCAAGAACAGTCTTTTTATAGTAGTACCTGAGTCATAAAAGGTGCCATAACAGGAACAAAATGAAGAAAAAGTTCCCTATGAATGCTCGTGTCAGAAGTCTGCATTAGCATTGGTTTACAATTGCCAATGTGAAAAATAGGGAAAATGGTTTGTGTATAAAAATTTTCACCTTGTATGTGTGACCACAAGGTGGGCCAGGGCAGGGTGTGGGGCTGTGAAAAGAAAGGGTCATTCAGAAAGAATGCTTTTTCAATGTAGGAAACCATCTAACTTAAATTTTACCAGTTACAGGATAACTTAAGGATAAGCATGAAGCTTTCTAGTACCACTAGGAGCATCTGTCCCCACAACCTCAAGCTACACTTATGTGGCATCTTTCTGCTTCCAGATTGTTGAAAAACACCAAGAAGACAGAAGACTTGAATTATGCCTTAGACTTTGATTAGATGCAGAAGAACAAAACTGAACAGCAATCCAGTAAAACAATTTCAATAATAAGTAGGTCCTCACATTTCCAGTCTGCAGTTGTTGACCAGGAAATTAATTCAACATAGAATTTTTTTGTAGCTACCACAGCTATCTGAAAGCTAGAACAATTTCCAAAAACTAAAGAGTCTGCTATAACTTGGATGCTTTGTAATTTATCTGTATTTTGAGCATTCAGAAGTTATTTATTTGGTACAGAATTTCTATTTCCAAAGGAACTTGCTGACATCAAAAAGGAACACTCTTCAAAACACTTGGAAGAGACTATAGGGGCAAACACATTAAAATAAATGGGCATGCTGCAGTGCCTTTAAGTAAATTTGATTCACATATTATTACTGATCTCCAAGTCATGTGCCAAGATCCTCAAGCCTGAAATTAATTGGTTTGCTCAATGAACTCAGACCAGAAGCCATACATTGTATTACATTGTTTGAGCAGCGTCTTACTGAGACCACTTTTGTTCTTCATTAAGCTGAAATAACTGGCATCAGAACTCCAGAATACTTCCAGCATGGGATGGGTGACATTTCTTGTAGCACGTAATTTAGTTATTCTGTGGTGCAGTGAGGATATCCACTTCTACCTGAAGCTTCAGGTGATTCTCATGAATGTCACTTTTAATGCCAGTGCTACCACTTGCAAATAACCTAATGTGACAGCATTGAAAGAGAGTTCTGGGTACTGCTCATTCCTTTGTACATCACAGGCTCTTTTTCTTGTTGCAGTTCTCCTGAAGAAGAAAAAGTTCAGAATGATGTGTTAATACTGCTTTAAAAATTAAAATGGGTTTAAAGGTTGCCTGTACTACCTGTTGCACATGTAACAAGCATGTGTCATACCCAAAAGTTATCAAACCTAGTCTTTCTTACAAATGATGGAGAAAAATATCAAATGCTAAATTTGGACATTTATTAATGGAAGACCAGCTTTGAAGGATAGTACCATTTATGATGTCCAGTAGTCTCTGAAATTCAATTAGTCTACGCATGTGATTAATCTTCTATATTCACTATACACAGTCTTACTGTTTGGGGCAGGATGAGAACGACTGATTAGCACTTGGTTAGTGGACTGAAGGAACAAGCTAAAATAAATTTAATGTATGTAACAGATGGAGCAGATTTTACTGATGAAAAGGGTTGAGTGATGACATCTACAGAAACACTAACCACATGGTTACATAAATACCTGTGGCTGCAGAAACATCACAGGCTATTTACAAAATTGCAACTGTAGTGCATCATGTAGAAAGTCCTACAGGAGATAGATTTTCCAAAAATTCTTACCCATGTTTTCTTCCAGTTTTGCATCATCTTGTCATGCTCATTGATGACACTTCTCCAGGTATTGAATTCTTTGGTCCATCCATCCTGACCAGCACTATCTGAGAATTGCACATGGGATGATTACATAACTATGTGATGATGAAGTAAGTTATCTCTATTCAGTTGCAGTATTTCCTATGGGAATTGGGCTAGAAGGAAAAAAAAATTGCCATCTTGTCCTTCATTTTGGTCTACTTCTTCTCATGTTATTTGGAAGTAATTTTTATTCAAATCGGCATGTCTGTTCCCCTCTACCACAAACTCAATCGACTTGAGAGTAAAGTGATTCGGTACCTTTATTGCAGAATGGAACACTGATGGTGACACACAGATTTCACAGTTTCTACTTAACTGTTGGGACAATACCAACATTATGTAATGCTTCTGGAGTACTGTTTTATATTTACAGTAGTTTCACTGAAGTTTTTATTCTGCTTTTGAGACAAGAGTTCAAAGTGATAGCAAGACAACTTGTGCAACTCCTACTGCTTTTCTCGTTAACTAAAAAAAAAAAGGGTTGAGCTCTTGACCCATTTCTGTTTGTTATTAACCAGCTAACTAATTCCCCCATTACATTGCCAAGTCTCATAGAATCACTATGGTTGGAAAGGACCTCTAGGATCATCCAGTCCAACCTTCCTCCCAGCATTCCCCTAACCACTAGACCCTAACATCAGGTGCTATATCTTCCTGTTTTTTTAACATCTCCAGGGATGATGACTCCACCACCTCCTTGTGCAGCCAGTTCCAGTGCCTAACCTCTCTCTCAGTGAAGAAATTCTTCCTTTTATCCGATCGAAACCTCCCCTAGTGCAACTTGAGGCCATTTCCTCTTGTCCTATCACTAGTAATCTGGGAGAAGAGACCAACACCAGCCTCACTGCAGCCTCCTTTTAGGTAGTTGTTGAGAGTGATAATGTCACCTCTCAGTCTCCTCCAGACTAAACAACCACAGTTCCCTCAGTCAGCCTCCATAAGGCATGTTTTCCAGCCCTCTCGCCAGCCTCGTTGGCGGTCTCTGGACCCACTCCAGCACCTCCATGTCCTTCTTATCCTGTGGTGCCCAAAACTGGACACAGTACTCAAGGTGAGGTCACACCAGTGCTGAGTCCAGGGGCACGATCACCTCCCTGCTCCTGCTGGTTACATCACTTCTGATCCAGGC